TATCATATGGTTTAAAGACAAATCATGTCTTAGTGTTGTTATGAAAAGAATTTTGGGCTAACCTGAAAGGGTCCCAGGTACCCCAGTGGTCCCTGAACCACCCTTCCAGAACCATTGCTTTAAGCACTCTCTCCAACGTGCGGCAGTTTTAAGAAAAAGAGCAACACCGTCCAGTGACTCTTTACTGTCTGGATCTTTTATAGTTCCTGATCAGGTATTTGTGTAAAAAAACAAAAGACAGGTGAGAAGAAGTATTTATGCATGTGAGACTCTGGTATACCTAATATATAATGCTGTGCTCGCATGTGTTTACATACAAAGAAAATTCTGAGTTTTCATATATTAGTACACTCCGTCTGTATGGAATCCCCCACATCCTGTTTTTCATTTAGAGGATAGCATATAAATGAATTTTTCATGTGATCTTCCCAACCCATATTAAAGGAATCTGGTATTTTGAACATTTTCAAATGTGAAGCTTTGACATGATTTATATTAGCATAGAAATCAATTTGTAAATAGCCACATTACAGATGAGTATGCTTTCAATAACTGCCAATTTAAAATTGATTGCAGGGATGCAAGTCTGAGTCTCAGGGAGTAAAATAAATAATGGTTGACTGCACTGAATGGAAAAAAGAAATTTTTTTTTTCCAAAGAAGTATAGAGATGCTTAATAGATTTTGATCAACCAAATGTTCTGCACTATATAATTGAGGCTTTTCTGGCTTCAGTTCCAAAATTACTGATTTTTATCTCACCGCAGGGTCCTCCCGGTCCCCCAGGTCTTCAAGGTCCAGTTGGTGCCCCTGGAATTGCTGTAAGTATTCCTCTATGTTCAGCACATCTAAATCCTTACTCTTCCTTGATGAAACTTATAAACTGTCACATAACCAGTCGATTTCATGTGGTAATAAGTTGGTTTGTATGCTTAACACTGAATCAACTTTAAATTATCTAACAGAACTAACCAAGCTGATCTTTGAAGCAAAAAACACTATGACTTCATTTGAAATAGATAATAACCAGTTGAGAAGTCCCTAATTTGTAGGAAATTCTGAACATAATTTTTCCCTTATTAGATAAGCTTTTTACTTCACTTGGTATACATGAAAAAGATCAGTCATATTCCAGAATCAAAAAAGTGTAAGCAAAACACCCAGGACCTACTATATAGCAGAGGAAACCATATTCATATCTTGTAATAATATATAATGGAAAAGAATCTGAAAAAGAATCTATCTATATATATATAAAACTGAATCACTTTGCTGTATGCCTGAAACTAACACAACATTGTAAATCAACTATACTTCAATAAAAAAAGAAAAAATGTAAGCAAAACAAACAATGGTATATTTGCAGCAGATAACGGCAGTTTAATCTACTCACTTGGTTACTTATAAATAGACCAGCTTTGATTAAATTGGAAATCGCTGTTTTTTTTTTTTTATGATGTCTTGTATCAGAATCATGATCTTTCTAGTTTGTGATTCTTTTCATTGCTCTTCTTAGGGAGGTGATGGTGAGCCAGGTCCCAGAGGTCAGCAGGGAATGTTTGGACAGAAAGGTGATGAGGGTGCCAGAGGCTTCCCAGGACCTCCTGGTCCCATAGGTCTGCAGGTAAGACATTCCCTGAATTGTGCACTCTGTCATTCCCACATCCTTGTCACATCAGGTTTTCTGGTGGATGTAAAACAAAACAGCATTCCTTTTTTCTATGTAGGAACTTGGGTACAGTGTTGAAGCATAATGACTGTTTTACTTAAACGTATATCTGAACTTTAAATGCTTTTTATCAGTTATTATGCATCAGCCTTGGTTTCTGTTTGGAGAATTTATTTAGCCCCATCTTAGGTATAACACCACCTTTCTTCATTCCCACTGTATTTGAAAAATAAAACTACAATCTTCTTTAAGTGTGATAATTAAAAGTAAGATGTTAAAAGGGTTCTTTCATATTTCTCATAGCAGGAAAATTAGTACTAGTACTCCAGATGGCTAGCAAAAATTAAAAGCCTTTTGAGAAATAGCAGACTGTCAATCAAAACTACCAACAGAAACTGCCAACAGCATATGTTAAACAATAGTGGGTAAAATAAACAAATTAACAGTAAATTGGTCATTTAAAATTACTTATTAAATTTAATATTATAATTTATATTTTATGAAGCATATTCAGGAGATAAAATAATAAATTGTAAAACATTGAAAGCTAAGAAATTTTCTTTCAGAAAAACCTTACAATTGGATTCTTAGATAAACCATTGCATAGTAGTCATCTCCTGTTCTGAGTGATTTTTCCACCCTTCCATGTGGTGTGGACTCCTTCCTAGAAACTTTGAAAATATCTGGCTTTATTCTTCCACTTGCTTATTTGATACCTACTTAGTGATCCTCTAAAAAATTACAAATTTTTGTTTTAAACGATCTTTGAGTGCCATATGATATTGGTCATGCCATACTGGCAATTTTAGAAATGGTTAAATTAAATCATCTAGTTCATTCTCCTTAAAATTTTGTGAAGTTGTAGAGAAGTAAATAGAAGTTGAATTTATATAAATTTAATTTTGACCTTTATTTTCATAACTAAAGTCATAGAATAGTGGTTTTTAATATTAAATAGCTTATGTACATATTTGTACAAATTATATTATAAAAATATAATTATAGTATCATAACAATTATTGTTACAACACTCAATGGATGTCTACCAGAGAACATATAATTTTCCACTTTTCTTTTAATGTCAAAATAATTATTTTTCAATTTGGAAAATGTAAAAACTTCATTTTCATTTTTGTGTTTAACTCTTTTATACGTATTAGACAATAACAAATAAGCAATCATGAGTACTACATGTCAATATGTATGAGAAGCACACATATTTGAAAACAACAGGCATTAAAATTACATTGCCACTGGATATATTACCACTCATTTGCTGGTTTTTAGTTTAATTGGCTACTCTGAATTCTATAATATTGTAATTTAGAAATCTACTTCTCATGATTTAAAAAAAGATGCCTTAATAGCTTATATTTACAAAATATTAAATTTAAAAAGTCTCCATTTCCACAGAGTAAGAAATGTGCTCTTTGATGAAGGTGATTCAAGGAATCAGTTCACAAAAAATTGGTTATATTTTCCCACAGCTGTTATCTCTTTAAATCAGGAATCTGAAAAGATGCTAATGTAATTAACATGTTCACAATCACATCTGCATCCTTTAATTGAACCTTCATGGCAGAATAGATGTTAGCGATTATAATAGACATAAATAATAATAATCTAATATATCTCGTTAAAGGACTTGATGTTTCAATTTGATGTTACTATTTGTCTGCATAGGAAAGAGACATATAGAATGAGAGTTCTTGGCCTGAATTCATTTTTTTTCATTTTATCACTTAAGTGGTAAATAATTTTAAATTGACAGACCTTAAAACAGAGTCTCTCCATGCATCAATTACTCCCTAGGAGAAAGCTAGGACATAGAAAACTGACTAACAGTGGCGTGCTGCTTTGCACATTTAGTTCCTGTGTCAAGAGGAGTTGACTCGTTAAGTTTCTATTAATTTTAATAATAAGAATATTCTGTTTTAATTTGAACTATAGTAAAACTTCATCAAAAATAAATAAGTATTTCAATGTTTTCCTATTGGGAAATTTCTATTGGACTAATATTAGGAATAACCATATGCATAAATCAAAGGATGGCAATGCAGAACTGGGCTTGTTACAGAAAAAAAACACAACTATGGACGAATATTTATGTACCATTCAATTTGGAGATCCCCAAGCAGAAGTACTCAGTATTGAAAGTGGAGAAAACCTGGACAAAAGATAAGGAATGTGATTGTTAATTTATTTAGTGTCTATAAGAACTTAATAATACTTAAGTTCTAAAGCATACTACTTAAGGAAATGAACTTGAAATATTTATTTCATCTGTGTTAGATCTACTTGCCTGTTTAAGAATTTAAGTTCATGTGGTGCATCAATGAATTAGAATCTCTTAGATTTTGGATCTTGGAGTCTAAAAGTTTAGCAATTCCTTTCAGATAATTTTTAGGCAGGCTAAAATCCAATACACTGCCTGGCTATTTCCTCCCAGGAACTTCTCTAGTAATTCTAGAAATTAGCGTCAGATGACGATAACTATTTGGAAATTACACATGACAGGCTATTTTACTGGACATCTAACTGCCATATGGGAAAAAAATAAATGAAATTCTGGTATATGTTGTCCATCATAAATCAGTAATTAAGATTTCCTTATAAAGATGAATAGATGGAACTGTTTTAAATTTCACAAATATACTCAGTAAAGTTCGCTCTCTCCAAACTGAGAATCATATGAAACTGGTAAAAACAAAACAATTTAGTGGGTTATTACCAGCATTTAAAAAATGAAATACAACAGGATAAGTTAAAACAGAATAAAAATATCAAAGATCATCATCTACCTGTTAAAGGTAAGTATTACCTTTTGAAACTCATGGTTCAACTATTTTGCATGTGCATGTTTACTAGGTAAGATGTAAAATATATTTATCACTATGGGTCTTGGTCAAATAATTTGCAGCCACAATGTTTAGGGCCAACTCAATAATTTTACTAAAATACCAGTAGAAATGTAGCACTTTTGTATTGTGTATTTTTTATTTCTTATATAGATATCTGAAATACTATTACATAAACATTAAAATATGTATAAAATGCATGATTTATATAGGTAATAACACTAAAAATATTTTAAAATTAAAACAATCCATAATTCGACCATATTAAAACCTATTACCACTTTTATTCTTTCTGTCCAATAATCATACCTATTTTAATACGTTTTTTACAGTTAAATTTATAGTATGAACATTCATTTCTATTTGTATTTTATTATTTATCATACATACTATTCATATTTAAAGTATTAGTATCATAATTGTAGTCCTATTATATTCCATTAGTTTGTATAACCAAATTTATGTTTTCTGATTAAACATCTGGAATAATGCAGGATTTTGACTATCATAGCTAGTGTTACAAGAAGCACTTTATTGCATGTAGCTTTTCCTGTTGATTTATTTTCTTAGAATTCATTTATTCATCATTAGTTCAACATTTTATTAAAATCCCAGTTTTTACTTGGCCTTCTGTTAGTTGTTTGAGGTAAAAAATTGGCATGAACAAGTGGTATAATTGCAGTTTTAAGTGTGCAATTCAATCAAGTATATATAGAGTACTGTGATATAAAAGAGGAAATATAAGCAACTCTGCACAGGGAAACTAGTCAGGAAGATCAAGAGGAAGTCAAATAATTTTTCCATGAAGGCATAACCAGGGAAAACTTAAGTGCAGCTACTCTGAGTTTATTTGGTAGCACAGAACTTCTAAAACAATTACACTGCAAATGAATAGAAAGGAAATGGATTTGGGAGAATAAAGGAAGTATAAGGTATCGGGTCTCATGACCTTATGCGTTTTTAACATTCAGAAGTGGAATTCACAGCTCAAGAATTCAGGAGATATTTGTAACCCTGGACATATATTGGATGGAATATTCATTTTTGAAAGAGTTTTTGTCAAACTGTACCTAACTATAAAGTCCTCACCTGGATAAGGTGTTCTAAAATAACTTTGGACAAGATTTTTCAGAAAAAGTTTTACAATGGTAGTTCCATTTACTACTTATAAAATATGGAGCAATGATTAGGTTTACAAATTCCAAAACCGAATTACGCACTTAGTTCTTGCAACTGAAATCAACCAGTAGTAGTATACAAAGAATAAAATTTGTGAATGTAGATGTGAGATTCCATAATCTGTAGTCAATATTTGCATTATAAGTATTTTGATAAATGACAGTCTGTGAATCCTAATTTCCATGTTTTTATTTAACTTTGTATTTAATTTTTAGTTTTACATTAGAAATTGGCCATTTAAAAAATATATATAAATGACTTTTATTGTTCTTCTATTACATTTTCTTTAGGGTCTGCCAGGCCCACCTGGTGAAAAAGGTGAAAATGGGGATGTTGGCCCCATGGTAAGTTTTTTGTTTTTTGGAATTGCTGTATATTGTAAATTTCCACACTACTGATATCTTTCTTAAGGTTTATTGATATGAACAATGTAGTCCTAAAGGCTATGACTTTTCAGATTGAAGCCTCTCTATTCCTGACCCAGACCTGCGTCTGCAACTGTTGGAATCTCTCTCATCATCTCAAATATTTCTCTATCTTTTCTCTTTCTCACTTTAGAATAGTGTTATGTTTATATACATGGCATTATTTGGTTGATATATTGTTATATATTTTTATTGCATGTACATTGTTGAGGTGTATATAAATTGCCACACTTCAGTTACTTATTAGTCTTTAGCTCTGGAATTTGACGTGAAACAGGTAAACATTAAATAATAGTTACCCAGGATTTGGCTAATTAGCGAATGTTAACACAGTATTAAAAATTAATTGTACTTTGAAACAAATTCTTAATTTAATAAGGAATTCTGTCTTAATCAGAATGCTATGACATAAAAATTTGCATTTATTGATTCCCCTTTCTGCTCTAAGTTTAAGTCTAATATTTCAACTGAAAATTTGAAATACATGTGTTTGTTGATTAAGCACTACTTTGAATAGGAAACAGTTAATCAAGGTCATTGAAATCCATAATGAAATGTAATAAATAAATTTCCTAATTGTTCTTTCCCTTCAGTAAACATTGCTTCCAACTTTTGCTTCCTTCAGAATACATATTTTGATATTTTTATACTTGCATGTTAGATTTTATTTTCTGCAAATAAGCAATTATTCTTATCATTACAATAAACTTAAAAATAGGGAACATAATAATTATTGCTGATTC